CAAGCCATATTCGAACTCCTTCTACAACACGAATGAGAAATAAACATGTATGGCTTCAAGATAGAGCAGTTGATGGCACTCTTAAAAAAATGCTTGAGTTGCTTAATCTTCAGATGGTCCGGAAAGTACTACGCTCAAATAAGTTAGTTGGCAATGGGACAACTACTGGCACCAAGTCTCGCGATTGCGTTTATGTCTAAGGTGGAAGCACCGGTGACTGATCTCGGGCCACTACTCTACTGTAGATATATAGATAACTGTTTTGTTCTTTGCTCGACACAAAAAGGAAATAGACAAGTGTTTCGAGTTGTTGAACAAACCGTCAGAGTACATCAAGTTCACCCGAGAGAAACCGAAAGAAAAATGGCTTCCATTCCTGAACGTCCAAATTAACCTATCAGAAAATGGCTACATTACGAAGTGGTACCGAAAGCCAAGCAGTAAAAACAACTTGGTACATCACCTCCCTTCTCACCCCTCTCACACGAAAAGAGCGCTTGTAAGAAGCATGTTTCGAACAGCAATCAACGTGTGCACGGGAAGAGAGCAGAGATAGGAGTCCAGGAACTTGGTGCAGCAAATAGCCATTTCCAATGGCTACGAAACTGTAGCCTCGGGATAGGTGTAGTGGAAATCAGAGGCACCCAAACGATAACTCTAGCGATAAAAAGGTCCCATTTATCCTACGCTTCATCCCAAATGATGTAAGTGCAGCTATAAAATGCTGCTTAAGAAAGGTGGGTCTAGAGAATCCGGTAAACGTAGCACCTAGCCGGCAAACATAAGCCAAATGCCCCGCTAGGCACACATAGGACACAGAGACATAACGGAGAGAATTTTGAAGTTCGTGTCACGATCCTCGCGCAGGAATCAGGAACACAAGCACGCAAAACTCTCGAGGCGTTCTGGATTAATTCCAGAAATCCGAAAATGAACCGCAGAGAAGAATGCCTCACTATCACGCGTTATATAGGACAGTACATAAACCTGTTATTCTGATGGGAGGAGCACATTAGGCTTCCATGTGAATTCTGTGCGGTTGGTCTTTACACGTCATACTCAGTGGAAGATTCATAGAAAGCGGTGAGTGTGCGCAGCTGTGTTAAATGTGATTGAAATCTTGGTTTAGCGTTTTCTCTGTTTGGTTATGGAAGTGTTTGGCCGAATAGGTTACTGTCAACTTGACCTTTCCAGGCTCTGAGGAAAGCGAAATCCGCCAAAACGTCAGTTTGTGCGTAAATAAAGAAATAAAATAGCACCTCGTGTTTGCTGAACAGAAGTAGAAAGATATATTCAATCAATGCCGAGTTCAATAGAAAGTCGGACTTGGGAGTTACTTATTGAAGTATCGCGAAAGTACAAAACACCGCCCTGTCTCTTGATGATCATTGATTTACAGAAGGCCTTTTATTCAGTCGAGATAGAAGCAGTCTTGGAAGCCCTTGATAGTCAAGGAGTCCCTACTTAGTACATAAAAATTGTTCGTGAGCTGTACAAAAATTTCACAACGAAGATTTCACCATTCCACAACGATATAAGCACTGGCGTCAAAAGAGAGGTTAGATAAGGCGATAGCATCTCGTCGAAATTATTTACCGCCACCCTCCAAAACGTCATGCGAGCATTGGAATGGGATAAAATGGGAGTGAAAATCGATGGTCGGCGGTTATACCATCGCTTTGCTGATGAAATCACCCTTGTAACACCAAACATTAGCCAAGCTGAACGTGTGCTAACCGACCTTGATAAAGCCTGTGGAAAGGCTGGTCTTCGACTAAATCCCACAGAAACGATGTTCACGAGGAACCGATTGGTTTCCTATCACCTATTCACGCACTACGGAACGAATATCTCCGATTGCTTCAGTTATGACCGCGTTGTTTTCTTCTTCAGCAATCACGTGGTTGTTATACAGCATACAGTTACTTCCATAGAAAAACACAATACAATAAAATAATAGCTGACGTTTCGACAGTAGCGCCTTCTTCAGACCCTGGAAGGGTATACTGATATACAATTTACTAGGCCAAAGGCTTCAGTAACATTTACAAAAAGACGAAAACTCTATGGACAACACATGATCAATGGCTTCTTGAAAAACTCACCTTTTTTACGTAACTTCCAATGAAGAAGTTTAGAACAGTTGATTACAATCGCATATGGTTGATGACTGCACTATCCCACATTAGAAATTGATGCGAACATACAGGGTTAGGTCGCGTGTGACCTCTGGGCATTCATCCCTGCTATTAATTGTAGGTTTTTGGCATTTATCCAAAAAGCCTCAAAAAGTTTTCGTGCTGGTGTTTTGGACTCCTGTGCAAGGATATTGACTTTTACTTCAAAATCATCTCCGCTATGCTTTTGTATCCTATTGGTGCCTAGTGGCGTGCCTTGTTTTGATTTTCGTTTGCTATCTAGGTGTTCTTTTATGCTGATACATAAATGTCTGCCCACTTCGCCAATATGTTCACCTCTGCAAGCACCACAAGAGATCAGCTATATCATACCTACACTCATGCAGTCACCGTCTCTGCCGTAACTGCAAATTACGGCAGAGTTTCCATAATAGTTTGAAAAGTAGACATGGTAGTCTGATAACAAACACATGTAGACACGTGGATCATGCCATTGAAAAACACCACAATGGTATCGAAATGGAAAATTGAAAAAAAATTGACCACCCATTATTCTCCTCCAAAGAGAACCCTCCAAATACCGAACACAATAAGATTCCTTCGACTTGCACTTCTTCAATTGCGCGTTCATTGTGTCCTGTTTGCATCGAAGAATGAACCGCAAGGAGTGTCTTGTCATCACGCATGACCTAGCCCCATAGCTCAGGTTGAATTCAATGACCGAGCAGGCACAGTCCTCGTCCATGTAATACTCTGTGCAGCTGCTATCCACCAACTAACTGAAATACTTACAACGAATAAACGGTAGATGTTTAAATGAAGCTGTTTCTTATGGGAATGCAAATTTTGTTATTTGCTAGCTTTTATCTGCTAGGGTTATGAAAGTGTTTGGCTGAGTAGATGGCATCTCAATTTGACCTTTCCAGGCTCTGAAGAAGGCGAAACGATGGAAACTTCAGCTATTATATCCCAATAAATTCTATAATAACAACCTCGTGTCCACTTACTGAAGAAAACCATCGAATTATCAATCAATACCGAGTTTAACTGAAAGTCGATTATGGAAATGTTATCGCTACGGTTAGCACTAATCTGTTCTTTCCACTGATCTCCCTTGTATGAGAGACCCCTATAACCGGGTAGTCGCGAAGCTGCGTGGCGGGTCCCCAGGTGGTGGATAGGGGGTTAATCGCTGACCAAATACAACCTTTGCTTTTCTGAGACTCAGATGGATCCGGGGTGGACTCCCTGTTTCTGAGGCGCCGATTTGACACATACTTTCTGTATTTGCGGATAGTATTCATACGTGTGTGTTTGTGTGTGGCTGAGTTTTCGCTTATGCAGATTGTATTCTGCGATTCACTTCAGCCAAAAGCCTGCAATCAAGTGACAGAGAACTATATGGAAAGTGGTTAGGAGCCGCCACCAACAAATAAGCACCATGTCCTCTCTGGCGGAGCTTGGTAAGCTACCCGTGAGTATACTCAACCCCACGTTTAGAGCTCAGGGATCTGTACATGGGTATCAAAGTGCTAAACACAGTAAACGAAACGGGGCTCATTCCTCTGGACGAGTACGAAGAGGCCGCTAAAGTTTCACAGCCAATCCAGTGGAGTTGCCTATATTCCTTGTGGAGTAGGTGATGGCGTCTACGATGTACACCCAGAGTTTTCTAGTAGATGCAATCTGTTACAGCCGCTGTCGTTTCTTGCTCTTTGTTGCTGCTGTTTGTTATTTCTTTTTATTATTGTTTCATGTTACTCTTTCTTGTTGTTCTTTGTTGTTTTGTTTCGTGCTGTTATTCCTTGTTGTTGTTGCTGTTTATTGTTGATGTTTGTTGCTCGTTGTTGTTGTTATTGTTTCGTGTTTTTGTTGCTATTGTTGTTGTTTGTTGTCTTTGATGGTTTTGTAACAACAACGACAAACAACGCCAAAGTTAGTTGATGACGTGGCAGAGGAAGTTTTTAGAATGTATTCCCGCGCCTTTCTTCACTCAACAAGGTGATCCTTTGATAACGAGGTTTGTGTAAAAAGGGACTCAGTGACATTGGATGGAAGCGAAAGATTCTGCTTAGTGCATTCGTCAGATAAGGGTTCCTTTGTCAATAGGTTTACATATAGCCTAAAAATTTCTATTATTGCTAGTGTTTTAGCGGTAACACCTTACTATGGAACATGATGGTTAGAGACATGTGTCCACAGCTGATACGCCTTGCTAGAGGTTGACAATTCAAGCCGGAGATGTTGAATATCGTAATCAGAAGTCTATATCCTCCAACGAGTTTCCTTGTCTCTTCAATACATTTCTCACTATTTTCTCGAACAATACATTGGATAATTTTACGGATGGTCAACAAAGATAAATCTTTTCATGTAAACTTGTTACAGTGCAGCAGCAGAAGAGAATGTTGTTTGACAGTATCTTCGTATCTCACAAAATAATTTAGCTTATCCAAACAACAAAGACCGGCAAGAAGGTTTATTGCTAGCAACTCGAACACAGAAAAAGTCTTTATCAGGCAGCAGATTCAAAGCGTTTCTTCACAATAACACATGAGTGGTTGTGGATGTTCCTCAGCACCATCGTTCAGCACCTAAACACCCGACCCTATAAACAAAATGATCGATATCAAGGCGTTTTTGGAAACTGATCTCAAGGTACGTTGCATATGAATACATTGGTCTCTCCTGCTTAAACGAGAAGCTTTAAGCCAATGATGATTACAAAAAGTGTTTCAAGAATGTTCTGCAATCTTGTGTTTCATGCGCTATTCAAGCCGTTCTTAGTCTGCTAATTTATATCACGCACTGCTATTGGAGACCGCCAACCTTTTTACTAGTAGTTCCTTATTTAAATTACTTCTAATGGTCATCGGTAATTGGACATTCTCTCTTTTTTATCTGAACCTTTAATTTGCATTCTATAACTGTTACCTTCGCTTCCCTTCGGATTCGGGATGCCATATTTCGCCCTGGTGGTCCTGGTGGCCCTGGTAGTCCTGGTAGACCTGGTGGCCCAGTTTCCCCTTTCGGCCCAGGTGGCCCTGGGAGCCCTGTTTCTCCATGTAACCCTTGTGGTCCAACGTTTCCTGGAGGCCCTGCCTCCCCCACTGGCCCAATATTCCCTGGTATGCCTATTGGCCCTGGTAGCCCTGGTCTCCCCGATAGTCCATCTGGTCCTGGTGGCCCATCTTGCCCTGGTGGTCCTGCTGGCCCTGGTGGCCCATCTTGACCTGGTGATCCTGGTGGTCCTGGTGGTCCTGGTGGTCCTGGTGGTCCTCGTTGCGCTCTCTGAAGCTGGTTTGGCTGTTGCATTCGCTCTTGGGCACAGATCTGAAAGATCATGACACATTTACCATTAGAAGGAGCGGTGTCCTAAAATAATAAAAAAAACATTAACGTACCAGTGTAATCCCAACAAGAGCAACGAAAATGAAGTTGTGCTTCATGTTCAGTCAAGACGACGATGCTTCTGCAACGACACACCCGACTTTACACCTTATGCGTTTATTGGGCAAAAAGGATTCAAAAACTTATAAAGTGACTTTTTTGGGTCCATGCTAGGTTGGTATAAATCTTCGTTTTCGTTGTTATTGTTGTCGTTCGTCGATGGCCGACGATTCGGCAATTTTGCCTTCCTCAGAACCGTGCTGTTACGAGTGTGTCCCACTCGTACAACAACAACAACGACAACGAAGACCTATACCAACCTTATAGAGGCTCAAAAGTATCAGTTTATAAGATCGTAAAAAGAAACATATCAACTTTTTATGCCAGGGATTAGAGAGGGACGGTTTTTTGAATCAAAAATTGTAAATTTACTAAGGGATAAGGATATCTTCGGTTCAACTGCAGTACAAAACATACTACAGTGAATAAAAATGGTTGTGAGAAAGAGGGGCACAACAGTGTGATTCTAGCAACTGAAGCAAGGATGCGTAGGAAAGATGAAGGCAGTCACAGGATCTAAGCGAATGGAGAGACGACCGACCAACTTGCTTTTATTCCTAGAGAACTAGGCGAAATTAGGATATAGATTTAGAGTGTTCAGGTGAGTACAATCTGATACAGTTGTTGCTGTGTGCGAAAGAACATCAAACAAAGAAGGAACAGTCTCCACAAAGAGCTAATTCAGTCCTTCCACGACATGTGTTAGAAAGTGCATCAGATAAGAGCCAAGAATTTATGGAAGAAGGAACAATCTGAACAATTCCACGCAAGTGCATTTCAAGTTCAACTGACTGAATGGGAACATCCGCTTTTCTGTAGAGAGTTTCTGCATGGTACCGTATATGCAAACAGAGAGTTTTCTCCAACAGATATATTCTCTTTTTCTTTATCGCTGGTTTTCAACCAAAAGTGACAGAATGTTATTTCATAAATATATCTTACTAATGTTTTCACTTTCAGGCTAGTCCAATGATCTCACACAGGCACAGTCCTCGCCCATATAGTACTTCCTGCTGCTGCTGTCCAGCAACCAATTTAGATACAGCGAATAGCAGTGGGTGCTTAAATGAAGGTGTTTCTTAGGCCAATCCAAATTTATTTGACAAGTTTTATCCGCTAGGGTTATGAAAGTGTTCGGCTGAGTAGATCACATCTCAATTTGACTTTTCCAGGCTCTGAAGAAGGCGAAACCGCCGAAACGTCAGCTATTGTGTCCTAATAAGTTCTAAAATAACAACCTTGTGTCTGCTTATTGAAGAAAAACATCAAATATATTACTTCAGCAGTGGTGATCCTAACATTGCACAAATAAGAGTGGTTAATGCGCCATCTATAAGTCTGTTCCCGAGCTATTTAGTGACTCATTCGAGACAGTCGGCTGATAAAAGATGTAGCACTGACAACATGAAATGCTAGTGTTTTACATACTTGCAATTGGGTAATCAATTTTTGGACTGGTTGCTCAATACCACTGGGAGAGATTTGTTTAATTAGGTCAGATTTTCCTACTGCAGCAAAGTTTCATCTAGAAATAAACACTGTTTTAAGCTTCATTGGGTGCTAGGGATTCTTTTCCAAAAATGCGCTACACTTCAACGCGTTCTGTGCGAGTGCTGAGACTCGTAACACGCAGTAAACCTTTGTTTTAAAACCCATTCACAAATGGTAAAACCAAAGCGAAAATTTAGGCGAAGAAAAAATGCCGTAATCAAATGATGTAAACGCAGCTCTTCGCAGGAGCCCTAACTCCGCTCCCGTGCTCAGCGATTGCCATTTGTGGGTGAACGCCACTCTTACGGCTGCAAGTACTTTTTTTCGTTGATTTGCTAACACGAGGATGACAAAGAAGATTTTATTAAGCTGATGTTTCCATGCCTGCGTCTTCTTCAGAATCGGACTGATCTCATTCGATTGTGCATAGTTGTAACTTCTTCCAATGTGGGTCTTCGTGATTGCATTGAGTAGTTTCCAGTGAAGCACCGCGCTAATGAGGTGATTTTAATCGACAGAGCTCTCTTACCATTTCCCGAAAAAAAACAAACGATTATTAACAGGTAATAGGTATCAACAACTGTCCTGTGCCGCGTAAGGTTATTTCATTCTGGCCGTACTCCACTGGATTCGACCCGATGCTATCACGAAAGCCGACATCGGAAGAAGGAGTAACTGTTGGCAAACCAAATCAATTCAGCTCTTAAGAAACCGAAGTCGAGATGTCAGACGATTATAGTTTTTTTTCACCCTCCGTTTATTGTTCGCCCCGAGATTAAGAGAAATTCGGTTCTTGAGAGATAAGAATCTGTGGGTGCTCGAATACGGAAGGAGAGTACTCGCGTTGTATTCGTTTGTGTGAGACTGCTTGAATGATTATACTGTTATTTGTAATCATTATATGCGAACACAAAAGAAATCACGACAATACTTTGTCATACTTAGATACGGCGCTCGTTTTTGACTCAATGATATCTCTGCAGAAAATAGCTTTATAACCGCATTTATTAATACTGACGCCCTCTATATGACCTCTATAGGACTCATGCGTGAGGACCATCGTTACCAGTAGAGGTCATACTCTTATTAGGGATTTATTTCTGAGCACGAAGCACCTTTTCGTACACTTCTTGTGGTCAACATCCCATCCAACACAGACGTTGCAGCGGCTGTCATTTACGGAGAGCTTTTCCCCACACTTAATAGTCTGCAATAAACCGCTTTCTTTGAAAGAATTCGTCAGCTAGTACCTTGACTGATCTATAAGGATTCCATTGAGTATGTCGCGTGAAGAAGCGACATTACGCTTCCATGTGAATTTTGTGCGGTTGGTCTTCAGGCGACAGATTCAGTGGAAGCCTCAAAGAAAGGGGCTCTGAGGAAGGCGAAATCCGCCGAAACGTCAGCTTATTCGTGAATAAGAAATAAAAATAACACCCCGCGTTTACTCAACAAGAATACGAAGAATTGAAGCAAAATCGCAGGGAAACGTGAAAAACGTTGTGGTAATTTGTGACCATTCTGAGTAATCTAAATGTGGAGCTAATGCTAAGGAAGAATCGTTGCCACTGTCACCAACATGTGAGGTACAACAATACTTGGACACATTCGGATACTTGGACGGCCCGTCCTCACTGGTTGTCCGGGCCCCCGCATAATCTCCATTTTTCTGAGTTTGGTTGGTTTACGCATTGTGGCTTCCTGGAGTCCGAAGGTCAGCCTGACCAAAGTCTGCTTCTGGTCGTCACCAGTATAGGTAGTCGCCCAACTTGTGGAACAGAGAGAGATTTACCACCATGTGACTAGTTTGATACCAGGACGGTGGTGGATCCTGGTATTGATTTACTCTTAGCCAGGCTTCTTAATGGAAACGTCGGACCACTTCTCAGCTTGGGAGATCCTGCAGGATGAAGAATCCCCGCTGTAAATCGCAGTCCGACACCGGAACACCTCCCATCCACGATGAGGCGGTAGACCATTGCGTGTATACAACAATACACCGGTGAGTAAATGAGTCATATGAGCCACGCATTCCGTTGAGACCTACCCAACCAATTTTAATGGCACTCTTTTTATAATGACGTAGTAGTTGGCCATCTCTTGTGGCCAGGCGATATTGCTCGATATCGGAACACAATTACGAGGTACGAAATGCAAAGATTTATTTCACAGCAACACCGTATTGTATGAACACTGCTCGTTCCTCGAAAGACCGACTTTCTATAAACCTCGGCATAGATAGTTGATTTATTTATGTGATCTTATAAACTTATCTTCTTAAGCTGACGCGAGGTTGGTACAGACCTTCGTTGTCGTTGTTGTTGTCGTTGTTTTTAATGTTATTGATCGATGGCTGACGTTTCGGCGACTTCGCCTTCCTCAGAGCCTGGACGTACTTTA